GAGAGAGAGAGAGAGAGAGAGAGAGAGAGAGAGAGAGACTAGAAGCACATTAAGTGCAATTTGAACCTGCAGTTCTGTTTTCAGGATGGCATGGGTTTAAAATTTAAAGCCAATGTTAAAGCTTGTTAGCAACCCTATTAATTTCCACAGTCTGACATATGTCAGAGTAAAATAAGATACTAAATTGGAAAAACCTACGTACAATGTATACTACTGAAAAGTTTGTGGTCCATAAAAATGTGTAATATTTTGAAAGTCTTATGCTCACCAAGGTAAATACAGCAATATGGTGACATGTTATTACAATTTAAAATAACTGTTTTCTATTTTGATATTTTTTAAAATGTAATTTATTCCTCTGATGGCAAAGCTGAATTTTTAGCATCAATTACTCCCATCTTTAGTGTCACATGAAATCATTCTAATATGTTGATTTACTGCAATTTTTGTATTTTTGTCAATTGTTATTAATGCTTTGTTATTAATAATGTGTCTTGTTATTAGCAGTGTTTGCTGCTTAATATTTTTGTGGAATTTGAGTTTTTTTTTCTCAATATTTTTTGAAGAATAGAAAGTTCAAAAGCATTTATTAAAATAAAATTGTCTATTTGAAATAGAAATCTTTTGTAACATTATAATTATAAATATATGTACTGTCACAGATCGGCCAGACTCAGTCACCTCCCAATCATCACAACGATCCCTCTCACCTGAGCTTTGAGAACCTGCACCTCACCACCCAATCACAACGATCCCTCTCACCTGAGTTCTGAGCACCTGCACCTGTCACTAATCAAGCACCTCATCAACCAGCCTGCATAAAAGCACACCACAGACACCCTCACTGTCCGGTCTCGTATACACGTAGAGGACTCAATGACTTTGCTACTACTTCCATTTGAATACTTCCTGCATTACTTACCTCCTAGTGTCTCCTCGTCTCCAAGTGTCTCCTGTTCCTCCTAGTTCCCGGATCGCTGAGGTGTGTGCTCCTCCTGCCTGCATTCCAGCTCCTGTACAGCCAAAGGCCCGGATTACCCTAATCACCATATCCTTCAAACTATTCCCTCACCATCACATCCTCTGAACCCTACCCCAGTACTCTCTGTGACCCAATAAACCAATTTGATTTATATTAACCTGTTGCGTCAGACCTCTTCCGTTACATGTACTGTCACTTTTGATCAATTTAATGTGCCCTTGTTTAATAAAAGTATTAATTTCTTTCTATTAAATCTTACTTTTTAACAAAGTATGATTCAATAACAAAAAAAAAGGAAAGAAAGAACTGAATAGTAATGGAAATTAAAGCAGCACAACTCTCTTTAGGACTGATAATAAGACTTTTTTTTAATTATTTTTGAGCCTCAAATCAGCATATTAGAATGAATTGAAATGATACTTTACAACATATTTAAATAGAAAACAGTAACTTTAAATTGTAATATTTCACAATATTACTGTTTTTACTATATTTTTGACCAAATAAATGCAGCAAGGTGAGCATAAGAGACTTATTTTCAAAAACATTAAAAATAATCTTAACTATTCCAAACTTTTTACAGGTATAAGTAGACACGAAAAATACCACCAAGCACTCAGGAGTAAAATGTTTTCAACACAACCATCACCTTTTTTGATACAACTTGTGTACGTAATCATGCCAGCGGGCTTGAAACCAGGTCAGTTAAGGGAGAGATGACAGGATTACTTAATAGAAACAGGCCAAAATGTACCTCTATTGCATTTTTGAGGGCTAGTTCACACAGGCCATATATAAACTCCTTGTCTTTATTTTTAAGTCAATGATATGTTAAGATGTGAACAAGCATTTGTTAAAGCAGTGTCAACAGGCCTTAAATCTCCTTATTCTCAGCAAAAGACCCTAGGCATCTCACTTGTATCTCTTCTTGAATTTCAGAAGAGATCTCAAGTGCAGAGATATTGGAAACCTATTTAATTGTTAAATAATAAAAATATATGCACTCAGCTGAACTTTACAATACTTTTTGATCCACTTAAGTTGGACTTATGTATATGTAATTTTTTTACTTCTACTATATGTGAAATACGGTTAAAGTGCACTGCTGAATGTACAGACAAGCATTTATGGTAACTGAAATATATAATGCAATTTCTATTGAAACGCGTATGTCATGTATTTATATTTCGTATGTTTTAACTTTAAATGTAATATCAAAAAACACACTACAGTTCAAATTGTAATGTGCTCTATTATGTTAGTCAACACATCAAAATAAGTGTACTTCTGTAAAGTATGTCAAAAGATTATTAAAACAATGATTTAAAACGTAATTTAAAGTAAAACTTTTCATTTGACATTAGTATAAAGTGCAATGCAATGTGCTAAGTTCAAACAGTCATGCAAATGTACTCTCTTTAAGTACAGTTAAGTGGCATTTTATTTCATTATTATTATTATATTATCAACAAGTATAATTTTTTAAGTACACTACATGTGCATATTCAATACAATTAAGCACACTTCTTTTTCACCATTTAGCAATAATAAAATAACAAGTCACCTTCTATCCAGAACTGTAAATGAAGTGCAGAAGTGCCTGGACATTACTTGATAAGACCAACAGAGTAAGAGAGTCGTGATACAGTCATACAGGTTCATATGATCCACTGTGTTATGACAGACCTGTAGGAGAAAATGTGAATTAATTGACCATTAAGTGGATGCATTTATCCACACAGTAATAAAGTTGGGAGCAGGGGATCAGCCGGAGGAACATCTTCATTCAGAGCTATTGTTGCTGGAGCTCTTGCCACAGAACTCTGGATCCTCATTTCACACACACACACACACACACACCCACACATATACACACACACACACAAACCCACCCCCCAACTCTCTGAAACTTCTGTTAGGCTGAACTCAACACAG